TATTGGGATATTAGGCTAGTTATTAGATATTTCATAAGATTATAAGGACAAAGTGAACCACGATCACTGCCTCGGCCTACTTGGTTTATGTGTTAGTCTTTCAATTCCTTGTTCACTAATTGTAGGCTCTAAGTCATCGATATCAACTATCTGTCAATTAGAATTGTTTCAAGAAACATAAAATCAGAATTTTCGGGCAAATAAACTTATAGACGAGTTATCTTTTCTTTACCCAGTTAATCGAGAAAAGAAAACATTAATTGTGGAAATGGCTACAGAAGAAGAATACCAATGCATTGAGTGTGGTTGTCAGGCGACGAATAGATATCAAATATTAGGAAATAAACACATAATCAAAATAACTCACTGTGTACGTAGTAATGTAGATCTTGATATAATTTTCGCTTACATTCGTTGTTTACATTGTGCAATAAACGAACGTGGTACAAGGGACGCAACTCTGTTTAATAAATATGATTATCTCCCTTTGACCAGAACCCAAAATCACAAATGTAGTCCGAAAATGTGACGCTATGAATTGAGTTTTCCTTAAAGGGTTTGTGAAGAGGCTTTCTTAACCTTTTGATGTGTATCGGGTACACTCAGTGCTTCAATTTGAATCGTTCCAATTTTCAATAAGATGTCTGTACTTCTTGCAATTCCACTACAATGTAGCGTTTTATGATGTCTCTAGCAAAAGTTGCATATATCTAAGGGTCTTTGCAATAGTAAAGGATTGCTACTTTACTTTAACAAATTTTATGATGAAGAATATTGAAAGGATAAATAAAATTCATGTGTAGTCGTTTACATTTTTTTAAACTTTTCTTTTTCAGAAGAATTGTGAAAAGCCAGTTGATAAGTATATTGAATATGATTCAGCCATTATATATTTAGACGCCATGTTGTTAAAAATTCCTGTATACAGACACATTCTGGTGAATGAAAAACACAAGGTATTTTAGATCATGTTGATTCCCTCATTGTACACTGCATGGTATTGCCAATTTTCATTAGCTCAATTAAGTGCAGAAGATAAGGAAGTAAAACTCTATTCATTTCATTTTATTTTTAATTGGCAAAATGGTCAACAGATTTATGGTTTATCTTGAAATATTTACTGTACATTTGTGAGAATAGTGCACACCTATTTATCTTAAAAAGAGATTTTTAAACTGGGTTATGCTCGGAACAGACAACTATTTATTCTGAATATTTAATTTTCTATTTTCAGTTCTGTGATATATTAAAGTTAATTATTTTATTGTTGTCATGTGATGCTTTAAGTAAATGGAAATTGGAAAAGTCAGAAAAAAATTCAGAGAGATTGGAACCGATTCGAGTATTTTACGCTGCTTTAGAAATAGATCTTTATTGGAATTACTTTCTCGCTGTTTGCCGTAAGTTTTTAATATTTAAATTCAGCTTGACCTTTGTATAAGATCTTGCATGATCTATGGTAGATGTTAATCTTATATTTACTCAGTTTTGTCAGTTTCATCTGTTGGAATTGCCTTTACAAGATTCAATGTATTTATTTCCTTTGTTTAATTTCCAAATCTATATTAAAATATTCTTATTTTTATACCCATTTCAACTGACCTTACCTGTTTTTAATTGTCATCAACATTCGGTTAACATTTTACCTATTAAAAGTAAAGAAATTGTATCATTCAATGTATTATTTGTTCTGTATTTCAGAATGGTTTGTGTATATAGCAACATTAGTTATTCTTATTTATATAACGGAGAAATTTTTCAACAAAAACAGTTCAGTCACCTCTTAGTAAGTTTTTCTTTTTTTTTCTTTTGAAATATAAACTTTCATAATTCTAATGTGAAATAACACCTGGAAAAGAGAAGCTAAAATATAAAATATAAGTTAATAAGCAGCTAAAGAAATGTATATTTTATGCTTCTGAGACACACATTTTGGATATAAGATACTCATCAGGACTTACATACATGCACAAGCATGTCCTGGTCCAGTTCAAAACCATGATCAATCCACTTAATTTTTGGGTAGAATAAATAGAAATTGAAACAAACCAAGTCAGATGTATTCCTTCCGTTACTACGTACACTACCTAAAAACAAGTGAACTGCTCCTCATTACGATTAGAATCTGACCTGAATGAGAAAGTTTTTTATTAAAATATAGTTTGAATTATAATGATACAGTTTCTATTTCAGTATATTATTAGTCAAGTCTGTAGTGATTTCTAATTTTGGTAAAACGTTAGTTTTGATAACTTTACTCTGGGGATCATCCTATAGTTATATTTATCTTATATTAGGAAAAATATTTGTTACTGCCTCCAATATACAGGCTTTAAGAGGTGAGAATAGTTTTTTTGAATATTTTTTAGCAATTAGAATGCGAAGTTCCTAGCTATTCAGTTCTTAGAATGGGATCTCTAGTGGACAGAAAAAACCCTCTTGTTTGAAAAGTTGATTTCGATATCTATTTAGATGAAATGAACCATGGTCTCATGTTTTTGTCAGATTAATGTTGTTCTTCGTAGAGATAGCACCGTTCTCTTATTTTTTTACTGTATTTATTGATAAGAAGGCATGGTGATAACGGCAATGAAAGTTACTATTTTACAGAAGGCACTGGCACTGGAATAAAATTGTGTTCACTAAGGTTGATGTTGATATTGATAAATTGAAGACCTAAGAATTGTTCTTTTTTATTTCAGTTATAACAAGTGGAAATAAATTGAAATGGAGTATTCCGCGTGTACCTAGTGAAATATCTCATCTCGTATTAGTGACTATTATAGTGATATTAGCTACTATTGGTCAGGAACTAGTACTACTGTATTTACCCAATACCATACAGCCACAACGTGTAGATAGATCTATCTTATTAAATAAACATTTATAATAGAATTATATTTAACAGGACTATGTTATTTATTCTGACCAATGTAAAATAAAGTGTTGATATAAATGTTTATTTAATAAGATAGTTCTAATAGAATTACCCTATTGATAGTATTACCTTGGAAACTAAGTGAACTCTGAAATATTCACTCTGAGTTTTCTGAATCTGAGATTTTTTGTTTTCATTCTTTTTTAAATTTTATTATATTATGTTAATTTTTTTCTCATTTTTTCTCATTTGTCTGTATATCTAACAATGGTGTATTGCACCCAATTCTGTCCCATATAAATTAAATGATTATATTTGTTCTCATAGGCTGAATGTTAGACAGGACCATGTCACTTTGATACAATGAATGTGTAAAATAAAGATTTTATTTTAATTAGTATTAGTCCCAATAAGCTGACAAACTGTTATTCTATCTTCTATAAGACATTCAGTTCTTCCTTGCTACATCCAGTATCACTCAGTTCTTCCTTGCTACATCCAGTATCACTCAGTTCTTCCTTACTACATCCAGTATCACTCAGTTCTTCCTTGCTACATCCAGTATCGTTCAGTTCTTCCTTACTGCATCCAGTATCACTCAGTTCTTCCTTGCTATATCCAGTATCACTCAGTTCTTCCTTGCTACATCCAGTATCACTCAGTTCTTCTTTGCTACATCCAGTATCATTCAGTTCTTCCTTGCTACATCCAGTATCACTCAGTTCTTCCTTGCTACATCCAGTATCATTCAGTTCTTCCTTGCTACATCCAGTATCATTCAGTTCTTCCTTGCTACATCCAGTATCACTCAGTTCTTCCTTGCTACATCCAGTATCATTCAGTTCTTCCTTGCTACATCCAGTATCACTCAGTTCTTCCTTGCTACATCCAGTATCACTCAGTTCTTCCTTGCTACATCCAGTATCATTCAGCTCGTTAATGAGTGGCTGACATGGAATAAGCATCTAGTCGTTCGGATGGGACAATAAACTGAGGCCCGTGTGCTGCAGGCTGTGCACGTTAAAGATCCCTTGACAGTTGAAAATTGAAAAATAGCAGGCTAATGACGTTGTCCTGGCAAAATTTCCCTCATTGCACCCTGCATGCCGTTGCCTGTCTTCATTAGCCCACATGGTGCAGAAAAGTAAGACGTAAAACTCCATTCATTTCACTTCCAGTATCACTCACAAAGTCTTTCAATAAAGGGCCAGATGATCCATAATAATACCTCTATATTTGCATGTAAGAACATTAACCATAGCTCAAATTCATCTCTAATCCACGAATAAAAGGAAAGAAAAAGAAAAGAAATCCATTATTTATATTTACTTCTCAAATATGACCAAACATTTATAATTTGCTACTCAAAGTTTTGGAGTTCTACATTAAATAGAAATATTCACACCACAGATACACAGTCAATTACAACTTCCAGTACGATCAAATAATAAGCTCTGTGGAAAAAAAAACTTCCAACATGATTTATGAATTGATTTGATGGATACTTAAATGAAATGAAATGCAAATTGAAATGAAATTAAATACAAATTGAAATGAAGTGCAATTTGAATGAGAATAATAAAAAATCTTACAATTTGATATACGAAATTTATAAGAAATCAATGATTTTATGAAAACTGAAATAAATGAAATAAAAATGAATTTTGAATGAATTGAAATGAAACACCATTTTAATTAAATGAAATGCTAATTAATTAAATTAAATTAAATTAAATTGAATGAAGTGTGAATCAAATTAAATTATATAAAAATTTGATGAAGATGATAAATGAAATGAAATCTGAATTATGAGAAGCTCAAAACAAAAATAAATTCAAAAAACATGAAAATGATAATGAAGTGAACATAGCTTAAAAATTAATGAATTGATTTGAAATTTCTATAAGAGCATAATTAATACTTAAAAATTAAAACTAAAAATATGAAATTTGTCATGATTAGATGGATAATGACTTTAAATAATATTCATTGATAACTTTCAATCTAGTAAATCAGAATTGACTTATAATACCCATAAATAAACTTATTTAAATATATTTGAAGAAGTAAGAGCATGACACTAATTAACAATAGTAATTGATAACTAATTACATACATTATTCCATATTATAAATAATAAAATATATTCAAAGCTAGCAGAGAAATTTGCAAAGATAATAAAAATCTGTACAAGCAAGACAATTTCGTTCATCAACATCTTGTCCAAAGAATGGCAAAATCGAGAGTAAATGTTGTATAGTAGTGGACTCCTCCAAAGAGAAGTATCATCAGGTGTTTCGAAAAGAGTAAGCATGTTCTGCTAAAAATTGCGGCAAGACATTTAGTATGACATTGAACTTTAATATATCTTAAAGAAAAGAAACAATTGATGAAAACATTAAGAAAAGTTGTACCAAAGAAAGCATTTATAAGTTATATGACAAGATGAATATGATGGACAGTGATAAAGATGCTAGATGATGAGTAAAATTTGATGATAATTGACACATGAAAAAATATGAATAAATAGTAAGAGAGTTGACTATTCTATATCAACATTTAAATGTTTAAATATCAATTCTTAAATATAATGTATATGACAATATGTAAAGATAATATATGAATATACGAGATTCTACATGGTTTGTATATGCTGAGTCAAATTAAAGGGGCACCTGTCATGAAATATCATACTCAGACAAAAGTTCACTTAACATATTTAGTGAAATGGAACTCAAGATGGTGGATGAAAAACTAAGTGCTTATTTTCACTGCTCGAACAACAAAGCAAACCTTTATTTCTACTGGTGGCTGAAAATTTGCAAGAGAACATTTTATAATCTGATCAATGTAACTTGTTTTCTGATACTTGTGCATGGCACAAAAAATTTTCAAACAAACTTTAAATACAGTATATTTGTGAATATAATGCACACTATTTTAGCAAGATGAAATAATGATATTATGGTAAAATGATTACAATGTACGACGAAAAATAAAAGTTGATTTTTTATGCTGCCATTTTGTCAACAGTTTAGCACGTGGAAATTAATTTTGCTGCCATTTTGGAAATTTCCATGCATTGTGGGATATTTGTATAGAATTTACGGACGGTTAAGAAGAGATGTATGAGAGATGATGAAGCACGACAAACAAATTTATGAAATCGAAACAAATAATTGGTGAATTTGATGATTAGGAAGCATTTAAACTTAATATTTGGTGAGAAATACATGCCTATGATAATAAATTTGATAAGATAGCAACTGGAAGTGCCTTTCTAAATGCAAACTACATGATAGTAGGTAACAAATGAAATGGAAGTCTTAAGAATTCAATTGTAATTACCATCAACCAATCAGTGAGCTGTTCTCTTAATGGTATGATATCTGTTTTTAATTTGACTCAGTTGATTGGTTGGATGTTATTACCATCAACCAATCAGTGAGCTGCTCTCTTAAAGTTATGATAACTCTCCTGATTGACTGAATGTAATTACCATCAACCATCAATCAGTAAGCTCTTTTCTTAAAGCTATGATATATGTTTATAATTTGACTCAGTTGAATGTATTGCCATCCACCAATCAGTGAGCTGCTCTCTTAAAGTTATATCTGTTTTTTTTAACTTGACTCAGCATACTATGAAAATGAAATGAATGAAAGATAACAAGTGAAGAATGACAATAAGCAGTTACCACCTAAATATTCTATGCTGCCTTTAAATACATCAATTCAAAAATTATAAAGCTGACTGTCTTTAAATGTCAAGGTATTAGACAGAGTTCATAATGAAAGGGCTTTCATTCAGCATTTTTGTATTTTTCAAAAATAGTTTTCGAAGAAGAGGGTCAAGAAGACCAAGATCAAATTCAACTGAAATCACTTCTGTTTGATTTAATTGTAGATGAACCAGAAGTCAACTGTTGATTTCGAAAAGTTGAATGGATGGCTAAATTTGAGCATTACAATTAGAAAACCCAATGAGAAGTAATTTTCATCTAAATGCCTCTGTGATACAATTTATTACAATAAAAGCCTATTCAAAAATAGAATTTAAAAGCCAGTTAAAACGGTTTTAAGATTTAAGAATAAAAGGAAAAGTTAGTAATCAGTCAAGAGTTTAAAAGAGATAATATTGCTCATTTGCATAGAGAGAAAAGTAGACTAATAGAAAAATAGTTATAAGATTTTACTGCTGCAGTTTTGGTCTTGAACCTCACATTGTTCCTTTTAATAATAATCTTAATTGCTGCCTATTATAATATAATAAATAAAACAAAAAACACAATTCATGCAACGGCTTAAATATGTTAAAACATGCAGATATTAAAGGTGCCATCACACCATAGAGATCACCAGCTGAGTATGGTGTGAATAAGATTTCAACTTGAGTTGTGACTTACCTTCAGAACTCATGACCACTTTCATTATTCACAACCATACACAACTAGCAATCACTATGGTGTGAGGGCACCTTTAATTTGGAAAATTCCTTTTAATAGGGCCAGTAAGATTTACACAGAAAAGGGAGAAAACACAAGAAAACACTCAGAACAATTGAAAATATTTACAATAGTTGCACAATTAACAATACGTTTGATATCTAATGGCCATTTCACATTTTAATTGGTAAAAAAAACATTCAGAGTAATGACAATAATCATGTGATTGACCAATGAATATAATTTGAATGATTTGAATAAATTAGAGTAAATTTGAATACATTACTATAAATATGAATAAATTATAATAAATTAATACCAATATGTATCTCATATATCATGTTAAAACTGAATGTTTACGTCTAATGAATAATAAATAAAGCTTATTTACATATTTACAATTTTGGTAAGAATATTAGTTATCAAATTATGTTGATTCTAAATTAGGGTTGCTTCAAACTTTCTGAAGGAAATAGTCGTAGAATTTGAATAGACATTATATGTCTTATTCACTGGGCAACATTCGTTACTATGCTTGGACCTAATTCAGAGTTGATTTCAGTTTTTTGAAGGGATGTAGGGTCCATTGCCAGTCTTGTGGATCTACTGGGATTCTGGAATATTCTGCAATAAGTAGGCTATTATCATTTGTTCTAGATGTGTGTAGTTGTCCTATATAGAATATTCTGTGATAAATGTTAGATAATTGCAATACGCCTACACAAGATAAAATTAGTAAAATTGTTTCATTATGTTATTTTGAAGTTTTATGATTTTAGATAATTCCAATTTTGACAATTCTAAATATGCCCTATACTTAATTATAAAATTCTTAATAACCACAAAATATATATTATTCTTAAAACGAATAACTAAATATCAAGACATAGATAACTTAACAGACAAATATAATATATCATTACACCACACCATCAACATTTACAACACAAGCTATAACAAAACAACCAATAGCAACTATACGTAAAGGGACAGATGCGCCATTTTGGGGAGTTGATTTGAGTCTTTAGTATATTTACTATTTGTAAATAGTCTTCAGAAGTACTACAAATATCATAATTCCTAATAAAATATCTCAAACTAAGAATTTCTTTTCCTATTTCTATATATGTCTTTTTTATGGCAGTGTCTCAAGAAAAGACGACTCATCCTCTTAATTCTCAAATGCAAATAATTATGGATACACATGGATTTGAAGGCTCAAATTTCGACAGTGAGTTGTGAACACTATTACTGATTGGCTTAGCTAAAACATTTCCATTTCTGAGACTAAAGTATGATTGGTCAAAAAATGGCACATCTGTCCCTTTAATAAATAAGAAGTTTTGACAAATCAATACACATTGTGTTGACTTTATAAGATATTAAATTTAGTTGATTATGCTCTGATTATAAAATACTTTCCACGATTCAGTTAATGCATAATCAAAAATAATCCATAAACTTGTGTCCAATTACAACAATGTTCACCCATACACATAATACTTTCAACAAAACTTTACAACTAGTCACATGTAAAGCACTGGATATAGCACTAGTTAAGCTTTCATAAATAATGAACAATTTGATGACTGGTTAATCATGACTAATGAGGATATTAAACATTATGTCAATACAATGTAAGTCTGGATGATAGTTCTACATTTCTGAATGAATGAATGCAATCAGATGGTAAATGAGCGAATGATAATAAATAGTATAAATATATGCACCAATAAATTAATGGACTTGTTGTTCTGGACTACACAATGACTTCTCGCTCCGATTGTAATGTTCGTGAAAGTTGAATATTTATGTCTTTTTTGTGAGTTTTTGTCGGTGGGGTATTTTCGCGGAAATCGTTAAAATCTGTTGACGATTCACCTAACGACACTGTCCTCCGTGGACTCTTTTCGTACTTTTCGAACGCAATGTCTGTTAGTTCAGTATCTTGATTTAATTTTGCTGCTGCCCCCCTGCACCCCCCACTTGCTCCACTGGTCGGCCGACTCTTGTCGTGACTAAATAATGGATTTCTATAGCGACGAATAGTCTCCTCTGTTTCGTTATTTGTACGATTGTCTGTTAGATAACTATCGCGACGCAGACGTAGTTTTTTCTTACGTTTATAATGCCACCAGATTAGGAGTATTATGCTGACGATTCCAAGTAAGATGATGATGGAACACACTAATGGAATTATGAAACCTGATCCTGGAAATAAAGAAAATGGAATATCTGTTAGAGTAACTATTATAACAATAACAAAACTGTAGGCCTAAATGGTAAAGATCTTTTTAAACTGACAAAAGGGAACTTGCACATGAATGCCTATGAATATGAAAAATTTGCCGCCATTAACCTGCCATTGAAAATTTTAGTTTTTCATTTAGTTAAAGGCATGCAAAGGGAGCCAGCAGCTAGAGTAATCAAGTTATGGATACAAGATGTCCAAAAAGATCTTCATCTGAACTGAAGAAGCCGACCATAGTCATATTAAGTCTGTATAGTAGTATTGAATTTTTGGGTTTTTGGTTTATGAAGGGCCCCAGCTGATAGAGAAGAGATTATTGAGTTGAGGATACAAGATGCCCCTACAGATAGGAATATATGTTTCAATCTTACCTGAAGAAGCTTTACTAACTACGGTAGTTTCAACACGTATTTCTATAACAGCGGCTAGAGCACTACTATTACTCTGTTTATGACTAATGATATCAGCAACATTATCTATAGCCGTTTTTAATGATGGACTGGTATAACTTCTAGATCTACTATCATCTACCGTAGACTGGAAATATACCATAAAATATATAATATATGGTACAGAGGGATTGTAAAGAGGTCTTCTAATCTATTTATGTGTATCAGGGACACTGTTAAACCTATTGGTTGCATGTGAGTTGCGTTCGGGAACTTATGACCACTAGTATTATTAATTTGTAACCATCACAACTGACAAGCACTATTATTTGAGCGCAACTATAGGTTACCAAGTTAAAACTGTTCATTTTGTATCTGTTTGATGTGTTTTAAAATATATTTTACATGCAAAACATAGATTTCAGCATAAACTATGGTGTAGGGGTCCCCTAAAATTATTCACTTGCGATTGCCATATTACCACGGAAACCTATTTCCTTTTATTATGTATAAGGAATTTTTAGTCAATATGAAGAAAAGCAAGATGGATACTTACTAAAGTGACCTCTACAGCATCTAAATGATTAACTTTAATACCACATAATATATACATTTGATTTTGATTGGAGAGTTTTTTTACGATTGATAATTGACGAATGGTAGAACATATACTCTCTATTGATACACCCTGAAATATATATAGAGTATTCATTAAATACTGAAGATCAGACAACGCCATGCACTGTACAATGAGGTAAGATCTTTAATGTGCACAGCCTGTAGCACATCGGGGCTCAGTTTATTGTCCAATCTAAACAACATTCGAGGTATTATCTCGACCTTGACCTTCAGGTTAGCCAGCTGACGTTCAACTCACTTAGCCACATCAAATCTCAAAATTTAAGGTATTGACTAATGTTTCACTGAACAGTCCAGTTCTTCTTCAAAGAAGACAAAAAAATAATCCAAGAGAAAAATCTTCATTTTACTTACCGTTGGCATTTTAGCTTTATCAAAAATGAGAGTCAATTTAGCACAGTTATTACTGAGATATTCTACATTTGGAATGCATTTAGTTTGAACACCCTGGGGCGTCAAGTCTTTTATAGTCTCTAAAGTTTTACAATGACCCCAGGGAATACAGGGCGGGGTAAAACATGTCTCCTCCGACTGTAACACACACGTCTGTTCGGGCTGACACGTAAATACTGGTTCACTATTATTAGGGTGGGGTAAACAATTTCTAGGGCCACACCATAACTAAAAATAGAAATAAGTACAATATTTAAGCCAGTTGAGAGTTCGTCTTAACCCTTTGAACGCTGAATGTAAATAAAATAAAATATCAAATTAAAGCTCCAAGTAATTTGGTATAAAGTGTATGATCACAGGCACCTGTTTCTATCAATAGTCGACCGTCTCTATAATAGTATATGATAGAGACGGTCGACTATTGATAGAAACAGGTGCCTGTGGGTATGATATTAACATTATCTGTTGTCACGTGTTTCAGTAGAAAAGGTTCAGCAAAAATTCAGATATAAACTTCAACATAAGAAAAAGTGGGATTTCTAAATGGCTGTTAAAATTCTGTTTGTCCTGTTGGATGGAATATTGTCTATAATTCTATGTAAAACTTTACTAATTTGATGCAAAAGATCACAATGGAGACTAATTCCAAATCACAAATACCAATTGTCAGACTGAATTACCTTTGAGCAAGAAACTTTTCCATTCTTACAGACACACGAATTACATTCATGTTCCCAGGTGGTGCTGTCTTGATAGATTCTACGCTGGTGAAGACAAGATTTAGGTGCTGGTAACTGACCAATCACTGGAAGAAAACAAAAAGTTAAAATGAATGGTAGACCCTATTCCTGAAAAATGTAATAATGATAAAATCAAATTTTCAAGCAATACAGGAACCTGATTGGACAAAACAACTTTATTTAAAATATATTTCAGTGATTGACCAATCAGACAACTGGAAATCATCCGAAGTTTGAGAGCGAGACCCTGGGTCCTGTGAGCCACTATTGTCAGAAATTCCACTGCTAGAAGGGTTACCTGTTTGACAGCGATGGCCAGTTCTACCAGGAGGACAGATACATCTATAATCTCCTATACCATCTAAAGACCCTGGTCCTGTGAGCCACTATTGACAATTGAGTGGCCCCAACTAAGGATTAATAGAAACTCCACTGCTAGAAGGGTTACCTGTTTGACAGCGATGGCCAGTTCTACCAGGAGGACAGATACATCTATAATCTCCTATACCATCTAAACATGTTGAACCATACGTACATGGATTAGAAGCACATTCATTTATATCTATAAAACAATAAATAGAACTTCTTAACTCATATGAAGCTATAGTGAGTACAAATCCTCATGTTTTGGTCTGTTGGTTGGTGACAAGTTAGAGCTTCCAGCTTAACTATTATTTCTGACCAGGTTGTTGTCAATGGTCATGGTAGTTGATCTGGATACCAAATATCACCAACATTACTATGGAGTGTGCAATGAGGAAAATATTTGAAAGGACCAGATACTTACTAACACGACAATCAGGACCAGAAAATCCAGTAGCACAATCACAAACATACCAATTAATACCATCAATACAACGTCCTCCATTATAGCTACAAATATAGACAATATACAACAGATCTGGATATAAGACAATGAATTTCTAGCCTTTATTTCAAAATAGCAGCCACTCTACAGACCACATAATCATGTGATATATACCTTAGCCATACTCTAAGTTCCACCATACCAATTGCTTCATCCCGCTGGAACAGGTTGGAAGCATCGTCAGCATGGCATTGATAGGACAATTCTTACATCCTATGATGTACTAGTCTCGCCTTAATCAAGAAGACCAAACTGAATTTAGGCCGTCCCTGTATAGTATAGCGAGTATAAGTGAATGCAACAGGGGTCCAGTTAAGATTTCTCTATCATTGGTAATCAAAAAAAAGGGTTTAGAAATGAAGATGAAATTCAAAAACATTCCCTTGGGATTAATATATAAAAGTAAGCGAAGTGATTGAATACTTACCAAGGAAATGGATTACAATCGTTGATATTAATATGACAGTTATTGCCTTCATATCCTTCTTTACAGATACAAGTATAACTATCACCACTATTAACACATGTACCATCATTCTCACATGGTGACGAATCACAACTATGTATTGAGGCTGAAAAAACAAGAGACACATTGCTTATTTCCTGAAAGCGACATGTTACCCATCTTCACAATGTCAAATTATTGCAAACTGTGTCTTATGCCTTGATATAATTAGACACTTTCTTGTTGAAAAAGCACAACACCTATTGGTAAGCTTTAAATATATGATTTGATTTCCTTATGATAATATATAGCCAATCAACTGCCTTGTTAGAAAGCACAATAAAAAAAATTGTGTCAATGATAGCAGATGAGAGCTAGTAGTTTCACACTAGCCATTATATTTACAGTTTCTCTCTCCAGGCACTGATTGGCTGTATTGGCTAGCCTACAACCCAATCAATTTCCTTGTCATAACATTAAACCTTTAGTTCAAGCTAATTCTAAAATAAAGATGACTAATACAGAATAGCGTAGCATACCTAGTTGACACATATTACCAGTCCAACCACTAGGACATCTACAGGTATACGTATCTCCTAAATCAACACATGTTCCTCCATTAGCACACGTTGTTACTTCACAGTTACTGTTACCTGTAACATTAGACAACCATGGTAAAATAAAATTAAATGGGGTTTGAAGGTTCAACCTTTATGAATGCTATTGAACTATTAAAGAAAATTTTTCCAGGACAGCTGCATAATCCTACTGTTTTGATTTACAGGAATCTTTATGGTGGACAGCCTGTAGCATGCGAAGGTTTTTTTGTTATACCATCCAAACAACTAGACACTTTTTCTATATTAGCCCCTCTTACCTGCCTCACTGACAAGGGGGAAACCAAGTAGAAAGCTCAGTGTAATTGATTTTTATTGACTTGTTTAATAAAAAACCTAATTAACTTACGCAGTGTACATGTTTTCCCTTTCCAACCATTTCTACACTGACAGAGGAACTGAGCTGGTAAATCTATACATTGTCCACCATTACGACACGGGTTCGGGTAACAATCATCTTTATCTGAAGAATAAAATGTAACTTTGATATCAAATCTATACCAGGCAGTGCAGACTATACATGCTCCCCTCCCCCACCAGGATTGTAGTTAGCCCTTACTGGCCCTTCCACCTAATGACTGATAGAAACAAGATTGTACAGCTGCCATGTAATGTCTTGATTAGTCAATTAGTTCAGCCCTCTTGAACGATCTCAGCCCCTCCCCACTACTTTTGCTGAAACCATAGACAAGCTATATACCTCTTGTGAAACTTGGAATAAAAAACTTCCCCAAACCAAGAATAATAAAATCAAGTAAAAAGAGTTTAACTGGGTATACTCAGAAATAGTTCCTTCAAATCATGCTCTTGAATCATTTAAGAACAAAGATGATTATACTTACTAATATTACACAGAGCACCTTTCAGACAGGGATTGCTCATACAGTCATCAATATCTAGAAATAAAAAATACCTTCCTTTCAAAGCTGCTAATCTGGTTAAAGCCTGTTGAGGAATTGTTTTGTATATAATTTATTAAACAAGTAAACAAAAGAGGACACTAATAGCATCAATTTGTACCATTTTAATTTTCTGAGGTTCTTGTAATATTACTACAACTTAGCGTTTATGATGTTACTATGGCAAAAGTTGCTAATAATATTTAAGGGCCTTTGCCATTAATAGTAACGTCAAAAAATGTTTAGTTTTAGTAGAATTGCAAGAACCACAGACGTCTGATTGTAAATTGGAATGGTGCAAATTGATACACATGAAAAGTTTAGAAAAACCCTTTCAGGTTTAAAAAAGATCTACTTACTTTCATGACAGTAAGTTCCAGTGTATCCTGATTCACAAGCACAAGAAAACCCTTGACTAGGCTCACTGATACACAGACCATGTTTACCACAGACATTAGATGATATCAGACGAAATCCTCCATTAGAAAAATTAGATGGAATGGAGATGGTACAGCTATCAATAACTGAAATAATCAGAAATGAATTGTCATCAATAAATGGCCTGTTAACCAAAATGTAACCTTAAGTCCAGATATTGAGTGATATTAAGTCTGTAACCTGTGTCATACTGGCTTTCAATTCACAATGCCACACCCTTAGACATGCATCTTTGAAAGAAGTAAACCCATTTCCAAAACCATTGTGCTGGAGGATTGTTTATCTGAAACGTGTGTCAGACTGATATGAGCTCACGTCAATTTGATCTTAACTGACTGTAACTTTCTTGGTTACTGCTCTAACCATGTGCCCAGAGGCATTGAAAGGTTCTAAGACTTACCTTCACAAGTATCTGAATCACAAGTTGTCTTCCTTCTGGAGCAATCTTTACCTTCAAAACCATGTTGACAGTGACAATAAAAATCTCCCTGGATATTGAAACAACTGGATCCATGTTGACAAGGATTAGGATTGCATGGATCAATGTCTACCTGTAATGGATATAAATAACTGGATCTGTAGGCTGTGATGTTGGACAGTTGGTCATTGCGTTGGAATGGCATTATTTGTTTGTATACAAACTCCGTCAGGGTGTGACCTTGAATAAGTCATCTTTACTCATAATTCTAGAAGACCCAACTGTAAATGGGTACTGATAATCCAAGAAAGAACAATGCTAAGCAGTTTGCCCAAGAACCTGCTGATTTACAGCATCCTCAGGAAAGTTTTTATCTTTGTAAAAAAGGGGTTGTTTCTTTGTTATGCAACAGCAAAGCTGATATAGCCAAATTTCTAGACTTTTTAAGGGAGCTTACCTGACAATTGTAGCCTGTATATCCTGCTAGACATTCACATTGATACGATGCCAACTGGTTGTGACAAGTGGCGCCGTTTTTACAGGGATTACTGGAACATTCATCTATCTCAATCTCACAAAGACTACCTGTATAACCTGGTAAACAGGAACAATAATATCCACTCACTAGATCCTGAAAAACAGGAATAGATAAGGGTTTTATGATGAAAATAAAAAAATTATCAATTAGTCCTTAACACTTTTCTGGCAAAAATATACAGTCAAACTTGTACAAGCGGCAAAATACAAAAAGTAAAAGCGTAGAATTGACAAATAATCAATCTTGTAAGAATGGTCACTCGTAATCCCGTATAATTCAGAATAAATTTGAAATCCCTTAGGTAAGGCCTTAAGGAAACAAATTTCTTTACTTTGATTTCACATGACCATTATAAGAAATAAGTCAATATGACTGGTGAATACAGACAAATCAACATCCCTGCATATTAGCTTTCACATGTGATACATGCACTGAAAAAACCTGTGGTGGCATTAGAAGGAGACATTAACGGAATTCCTCATCTTGAAGTTTTGAACTCGCTGCACCCCATTACCTAAAAGAAATGAAGAGTTGTTAACTTACCACACAAGAAGCTCCGTGTTGACATTCTACATCCTTACAATCATCAATATCTGTAATACAATTTTATTATATTAATCTTAACTATTGGTCATAAACTTGAAAGTTGAAAGTGGGAGTAAGGACTAATTTACTTTGTATATTTTAGAATAACTGTAATACAAATCTAAAAGAAGAAATGAATCAGCACATTATGTGGAAATTTTTTTACAAATTCAGGCAAATGAAAATCTCCCATAATAACCTTGTGCAAAAAACATGAATAACAAAAATTGATAAAAACTGTGTATCAAAGGGAAACATAATTCCGTGTGCTCACTAATTTTATTTTTTAAGTGTTTGCAAAACATATTGGTCGGAAATGTGACTGGCCAAATATATCCTATTATGATATGACTTTAACACAACTTTTTTCCCTATTCAGCAAATACACAGCATTTGGTATATGACATTTCATGTAAGTAAAGTTTTTTTTCAATCATTCACTGTAAGAATTATTGTACAGGTGTATTTGATAAAGAATATGCGCACCATATGAATGTTAAAATAAGAAAGTAAGAGATTATGATAACTTTGTATTCCCTTGATACATTCTATATTACTATCTATAATAATTCTATATATCATAGAGATATCTGTACTTTATTATTGAACACAATATATAATATCTTAAACTGAGATATGATTTGACACAATACAATAATTGAATCCTCAATCATACATGACCGGCAAATACATGTACACCAAAAATTGCTGTGAGAGTGGAATTTTTGCCTTGAGAAATATAACATTTACACATTTTTTTGAGAATTTTAGGCTTGGTTTATGATGAATAACTACTTACTGATGTCACATTTCTTTCCAGTCCAGCCAGGTTGACAATCACAATGGTAGTCTCCCCTTAAATCTTGACAAGCGTAAGCATTAACACATGGACTACCACTGCACTCGTTGGCATCCAGTTGACAATGTGGACCCTGCCAACCAGACGGACAGAGACAGATGTATCGATTCTCCTTGTCTAGACACGTACCATTGTGAAGGCAGGGATTGGACTCACATTCATTTATATCTACAAAATAATTCACGTTTTTTAATACAAAATGGCTTTTAATTATTTCAGCAGTGATTTGTTTAATTTCCTTCTGTTTCTTGTATTTACTGGCTGAAACATTTTCTGGTTTTCTTAAGGATTGAACATAGATTTGTATAATGTATAATTTTTATAAATATTTTTTTCAGGCTATTGTAATTGCATTTATTTGCATTTTTTAATTCAACATATAGAGTGGATCTTACACCGTAGCCATGGTTGTTAAAAAAATTCAAATAAAACTCCCATGCAACTGAGTTGAGTTCATAACTCATGATCACTTTCATTATTCACAACCATACACAACTGGTAATCACTATTGGTAATCACTACTGGTAATCACTATGGTGTGAGGGCACCTGTAGTAAGCTGAAGACTAAAGGGAGATAATCTTAAAACTCTCACTAGTTTCACAAGCTCTTCCAGTCCAACCTGGTTGACAATTACACGCAAAACCACTGACGATATCTACACACATTCCATTATGACGACATGGACTGGAGGAACACGCTCTTTCAGCTGAAAAAAACATTACTTATCAGTATATCAAATTTGGCCATTTTGTTAACTGAATTCTAATATCAGCTTCAGTCTTTAAAAGTCTTTGTATCAATAGAAATATGAATTTTTGTGTTTATAATAAATGAAACACACTTCCCTTACTTAGATGCAAGCCCCACATGGAAGATTACAGGAGATTATCCCTCAGAAAATATTTAAAACAGACTTTTTTGATTCATTTTAACATATATTTTGAAGCAAAAATAAATTGAAATCAAATGATGAAATTGTCATTTCTCTGATTGTGTTTATTAACTCACCTATTTCACAACTCTTACCAGAGAAACCTTCAGAACAAGAACACTGATACTCATTAGGTTTCGTGTTTCTACAAATTCCACCATTTTTACATGGATGATGTCTGCCACAAAAATTCAGATCTGAAAAATATTGAAATGAAACTATGTAAATATCATTATTAGATACCGTTTTTCAGTGACTGAAATCAGAATACACAGATTATCATAGTACTCAAAGTTTATAAACTGTCACAATTGGAAATAAATCAGAACACAAGGATCAATGTAACTAAGAGAAAGACTATATCACCACACAAAATAAAAAATCTCTTACCTTTATCACATAATATACCACCCCAGTTCAGATCACAGACACATTGCCATGGTGATCCGTTACAGGAACCATGACTACAGCCAGGATACGGAATACATTCATCACACATTAATCCTTTCCATCCAAACGCACATCTACAAAAACAACCGAGATCATGTTATCAAATACATAGTTTATAATGAATACTAGGTTAGGACCAATTAACTTTGGTGTAATAGATGTACTTCTGGCCTATATATAATGGCTTTCTATGGGAAAGATACGGGAGCCCCAAACTAAGGCTTGTCAAATGATAGAGCTCAATTTCAGCCATATGCATCATTTTTAAGAAATCATGCAATTCGACAAAAACATGTTGTGTCATTAATTCTAGAGAAGTTCTTATTGAATTGCAGAAGAACTGGATGTAGAACTCTAATTAACAATAGTGATATTCAGCCACATTATTAGGTAATTCATATATTACTGCATCCATTTCTAAGTCAGGCCTTTCATTTATAAAGTATGAAAAATTTTGGTACCAGAAAATTTGTAAAAAAGAAGAATTTAAAATATTACCTGCAATCACCTGGTCGTTCACAAGAACCATGTACAGCATGACATCCAGTCCTACAGATAGCTGAAATATATAAAATCTCTTCAAACATTCGAAACACATGATGCCACTCTCAGATCAACATGGTTTCCTTTTTTGGAAACTATTTTACCAAAATGTATTAAACTAAGAACAAGTGAAAAGAAAAGGATTTTGTCTTCGCGGTGAATTTTTTCAATATCAGCCCCTAACCCTATCAGCAGTACTGATATGAGAAACTGTCTTGAAAAACCTGAAGATACTTCCTAGACTGATTAGAGTCTTGAGTTTCAACGACGGGAACACGAGGAGACTAAAATCTCCAGTCAATCGTTTCCACCTTGTCCATTACGTGCAGAGCATTCACTTGAAGGGAAAATGGATCTGATTGGATGATGACGTTCTGTTTTGCAGAAGATGAAACTAGCAGAAAAATAATCAAACTTGTTTGATATTATAAATCCTGTCTGCGAAACGATAATCTTGTTGTGGAAGCAGGGGCACACGCGAGATTTTATTCAAGATTCAAGTGCTTGTGTGCCCGCACCTTTAGACGCAAATACATGTTATACCGGTACAGACAAAAACAACATGATTGGCTTCAAATTATTCTATTCTATATTAAACTTCTATTGTATCAGACACCCTTTTCTATTCCCACCTTCATACAGAATTATAACCTTGGATTCTTAGGTTAGGCAGCAAGCGTCTATCTCAGGGAGCCACCCCAGGTCCCAAATCAAGACTAAACAACAATGTAACCTATATCAATCCTGCCCAGTAGTGAAAGGTCTAATAAATATATTTTTTGCCAAGTGTAATGAATGGTATTATGGTATTGTCTAGAGCTACAGGGAGTTGAATATTATTATAGTATATTCATATATATAAGCATGCAATATTTTGCACAATTAGCCCTTTAACCGAAATAGCTCGGTCGGTAGTGAGCTGGATTGTCATCTGCTAGGGAATTAGGTATCATGGGTTTGAATACTTCTCACAGAATGAAACATTCAAGTACCAAATCATTCTAAATTCAGCCTGGTGTTGGCTTTCAAACCCCCTAACTCCTAAAACACAAGAAAATCATGGTGCTGATATCTTGAGAGACAAATACACTGAACTAGAGCTTCTAGACAATAATATAAACTTCTGCAGGGAGCAAAATACCATATGATTGCTAATAGTGCGCACCCCTCCTTACCCTTGAGTGAATCTGGAAATATCTTCCGTTAAATTACGGGATAGCGCAACACTAAAAGAGAGCAATAAGTCAGTCCCTTTCGCTATCCTACAATTAATTATTTTTATCAAGAAAAGGGTTCTTAAGACTTAAGACACATTTTGATTGGTTAAAGCACTGTCATTAGAACAATTGTAGTACAAAATTTGTTAGATCACAATGGAGACAAAAAATATAAGAAATGAATCTAATTTAACCCAAACCTACCTGTTTCACACTCTTGTCCCATCCAACCATGTAAACACACCTTATCACCGTTAGAATCACAGGTATAGTGTCCGAATCTATCGTTATGTGGTCTACAGAACTTAGTACACGTTGTATTATAATAATGTTCATCACAGACCACTTGTATTTTATATACTAAACTAGCCGTGGGTCCTGTATGAATTATTGTGTGCCAGTCCTGTCCTGGTAGAATCATTCCTGTCTGGGCTGCCCTTTCTATCAATGAATCCATTCCTGCAAGACAAATCAATTCAAAACTGAAACAACAAAATGTTCAATACATCAATTATTCTGGTAAAAAAAATGACGCCAACAGAGTCATTCTGGAGCAGGTTTAACCAGCGATTTTTACCCTGGGTACAAAATGTTAGTTAACTGATGGTATACTACCAGTCCCATTAGACTGCTCTTACTTTACCAATGTCTATCTACTTTTCTGTTTCTTCCTGTGACATCTGACCTTAATTTTCATTGAAAAATACATCCTATATCTGATGAGAAATTTAGTATAGGTAGCGAGGGGAAACCCATTGGTCAAGGGCTCAGAGCTGCTGTATCCTTCCCTGCATTCAATTCAGTATAGGTAGAGTGGGGGTCCTAAGAAACCCAGAGCTCAGGGCTGCTCTCTCTTCCCCTCAATCAATTCAGTATAGGTAAAGTGGGGGTCCTAGGAAACCCATTGGTCAAGGGCTCAGAGCTGCTGTATCCTGCCCTGCAGCCTATTCAGTATAGGTAGAGTTAGGGTCCTAGGAAACCCATTGGTCAAGGGCTCAGAGCTGCTGTATCCTTCCCTGCATTCAATTCAGTATAGGTAGAGTGGGGGTCCTAAGAAACCCATTGGTCAAGAGCTCAGAGCTGCTGTATCCTTCCCTGCATTCAATTCAGTATAGGTAGAGTGGGGGTCCTAAGAAACCCAGAGCTCAGGGCTGCTCTCTCTTCCCCTCAATCAATTCAGTATAGGTAAAGTGGGGGTCCTAGGAAACCCATTGGTCAAGGGCTCAGAGCTGCTGTATCCTACCCTGCAGCCTATTCAGTATAGGTAGAGTTAGGGTCCTAGGAAACCCATTGGTCAAGAGCTCAGAGCTGCTGTATCCTGCCCTGCAGCCTATTCAGTATAGGTAGAGTTGGGGTCCTAGGAAACCCATTGGTCAAGGGCTCAGAGCTGCTGTATCCTGCCCTGCAGCCTATTCAGTATAGGTAGAGTTGGGGTCCTAGGAAACCCATTGGTCAAGGGCTCAGAGCTGCTGTATCCTTCCCTGCAGCCTATTCAGTATAGGTAGAGTTGGGGTCCTAGGAAACCCATTGGTCAAGAGCTCAGAGCTGCTGTATCCTGCCCTGCAGCCTATTCAGTATAGGTAGAGTTGGGGTCCTAGGAAACCCATTGGTCAAGGGCTCAGAGCTGCTGTATCCTTCCCTGCAGCCTATTCAGTATAGGTAGAGTTGGGGTCCTAGGAAACCCATTGGTCAAGAGCTCAGAGCTGCTGTATCCTGCCCTGCAGCCTATTCAGTATAGGTAGAGTTGGGGTCCTAGGAAACCCATTGGTCAAGAGCTCAGAGCTGCTGTATCCTGCCCTGCAGCCTATTCAGTATTTGCCAGTTTATTTATTAATGAATATGCTACTCTAAAAATAACATCTAAAAAAGATAATAAATTTTATTTCTGTTTTAACAAACAACAACTCTGACGTAAACGAAATAAATCGTATTTTTTACTTTTCTAATCTATTTATATTATCAGAATTTATTTTCACCATTTTAATTCTTTTTTATGAAAAAATAATTTTAGACATCAAAACAACAAATGTTTTAACTTTTATCTTAATATATCAGTATTTTACATTCATAATCAAACTTTTATTCGTGTTTCTAAAAATAAAATCCCCCAAAAAATCATTAATTTTTTGATAAAAAATGTGTTTTCTTGAATATAACTTAAAAAAAATTCTTAATAATTTTTGCACATTAGAATAAAACTTTATGGCAAGTAAAATTATTAAATCTTATTCCTATTCATCTATATATAGAAAGCCAATTACTATCAATCCCAATTGCAAAACAAAACCTGAAATTAAAAATGAGAGTTCACCTGTTCAAACACCCACAGGCTATAATTTCCACAAGCAATAACGTTATTACCTTTTTTGACAATAAAACAAGCAAATCAAGTAACGTATTCAAGTTGTAGTGAAGGCTATAGGGAACTCCCTATGACGTCATCTTATGTTTGTAAACATTACATTCCAGGGGGAATCCCACAGCGAAGTATACAACGTACGTCAAATTGACGGACCATTTAAATGCTGTCTTATTGCGCACTGGGTGTGGTACCTTATAGTTAGTACTCCAATCAAAACAGTAAACGAAATAGTATGTAATAAAAGTCGAACCGCACATTTGTCTATAGGTTTTCAATATTGTATTTGGGCTTGACGTAGTGATTTCACTCGTGTGCTACGCAACAATATTGAAAACCTATAGACACTTAAGCGCGGTTGGACCATTGGAGCTTATAATATCATGCTGCAGACACCTGTTTTGGATAAACCATCCTCATCAGGGCAGTTTATTTTAAAATTGGGGTTAATCCAATACCAACATTTAAATCATAACAAATTGATAAAAATTATTATTCTTAATATCAAAATTCAAAAATATTTTTTAATAAAACTCCTCAAAGAAAAATAAGTGTTCTAGATATCGCACGATTTTTTTCTAATTTCTTAAATTATTTTATTTTTCTGTAATTTAGTTTTCACTTATGACAAACATTCATTGTTAATGTTACAATTTTAACAGAGATCTAGTCTGATTTTGATTCTGGGCCAAGTTACTGGCAGCTTCCCAATATTTTTAAATTATTTCCAAGGTTTAAGATTCCTGGCACTCTTATCAAGCACCAGTGAAAGTAATTTGAATTCAATGCAATCTGTAGTGAATGAAGTATAGTATAACACTTGTAAAAATGATTTACACCGAAAACGCTTTAACCTTAACACTATTTTGTATTAGTGAACATTACTTAAACCTGTGCCAGTGCCTTCTATTGTATAGTAATTTGTTACCACCCTAAACAGTATTTTGCATTAGTGAACACTGCTTTAACCCTGTATCAGTACCTTCTGTTGAATAGTAATTGCCTACATGCCTGTGCCTATGCTTTCGTAAACTTTGCTTAACTGAAATTGTACACCCTAAAATTCCTAATCTCTACAATTACAGAATATTATTTCAACCCTGTGACAGTGCTTTCTATTGGATAGTAACTCGTTACATTTCGACCACCCTAATCTCTACAAATAGTGAACACTGTTCTAAGCCTGTGCCAGTACCTTCTGTTGAATAATAACTTGTTACCTTACAAACACCCTAATCTCTACATGTGAAAACTGCTTTAACCCTGTGTCAGTGAATTTCTGTTGAATAGTACCTTGTTACCTTTGAACAATCCAATCGTTAACACTAACATTGCCTTAATTTTTCCATTTTGAATTTCTTTTACAGCTGGGCTGATAGAATTGTATATTGAGGGTCATGATTGCACCATGAAAGAAACAGAACCACGGAGGAGATTGAAGACTGTAGACTATTGGTAGCTACCTGTTATTGATGTAAACTAATCTCTACATCATAAATAATACTGTAATAGTCCACGTTTTATATTTCTCAACTAAAACATATGTTCCCTTCACACAGTTCTAGAAACAGGCGAGTGTTTATGGCACCAACAAGAATTTTGACAAGTTATAATTCACAGATCATAATCTTTTCACCAGATTTACCAAGTTTGTATTAGATATTATATTTTACCAGTATAAACTGTAAGGTATATCTTATATTAACCAAGTTTGTATTAGATATTATATTTTACCAGTATAAACTGTAAGGTATATCTTATATTAACCAAGTTTGTATTAGATATTATATTTTACCAGTATAAACTGTAAGGTATATCTTATATTTACCAAGTTTGTATTAGATATTATATTTTACCAGTATAAACTGTAAGGTATATCTTATATTAACCAAGTTTGTATTAGATATTATATTTTACCAGTATAAACTGTAAGGTATATCTTATATTAACCAAGTTTGTATTAGATATTATATTTTACCAGTATAAACTGTAAGGTATATCTTATATTAACCAAGTTTGTATTAGATATTATATTTTACCAGTATAAACTGTAAGGTATATCTTATATTTACCAAGTTTGTATTAGATATTATATTTTACCAGTATAAACTGTAAGGTATATCTTATATTAACCAAGTTTGTATTAGATATTATATTTTACAAGTATAAATTGTAAACAGTATACAGTATATTTAATGGTCAGTATGAATATTACATTTCTATTAGATATTATATGTCTATGGGTAAAGAGAATCCAGAGTTTTAGGGGCTTTTTTCATTTTTTGACACGACCATAGTTGATAGGTAAAAAATCAAGCTACTATTAAAGATAAACAATATACAGTATATCCAATGGTTAATATAAAGCTAAAAATGTCCATAAGATAGCATGTCTTCATGGATTTACTTGGGGGACTTTTTTTTATTAACTTAGTATGGAGGTACATCTAATAATGAATTAGGCACAATGGTAAAATTCCCCTCAAAAATAGAAGAATTCTGATGTGAAGCCATTTTTAGGATTTTCCTTAAAGAAATATATCAAATATTCTTACCGTTATTAGTGGAATGGTCCCAAGCTTCAACCATCAATGTGTAAGATCTCTGAAAATATACAAACACAATGGAATTAGGGAATATTTTACAATAGCTAAAAAGAGTGGACGATCTTCTGGAGTATAACCTAGAAATAGGTGTATCAATGGTTCCAATCGCGAATTGTAAGTACTTTTGAACTGTCTGAAGAATGTGCAACACAGTAGAGTACTAGTGTTGGCCTGATATATTGGTGAATCATTTTGTGACCCTTGTATTGTAATACATATTGTATCGTGACCCTTGTCTTGTAATACATATTGTATTGTGACCCTGATATTGTAATATGTATCGTGTTGTGACCCTTGTATTGTAATATGTATCATATTGTGACCCTTGTATTGTAATACTTATTGTATCGTGACCCTGGTATTGTAATATGTATCGTACCATGACCCTTGTATTGTAATATGTATCGTATCGTGACCCTGGTATTGTAATATGTATCGTACCATGACCCTTGTATTGTAATATGTATCGTATCGTGACCCTGGTATTGTAATATGTATCGTATCGTGACCCTTTTATTGTAATATGTATCGTATCGTGACCCTTGTATTGTAATATGTATTATATCGTGACCCTTGTATTGTAATATGTATTATATCGTGACCCTTGTATTGTAATATGTATCGTTCCATGACCCTGGTATTGTAATATGTATCGTACCATGACCCTTGTATTGTAATATGTATTATATCGTGACCCTTGTATTGTAATATGTATCGTACCATGACCTTGGTATTGTAATATGTATCGTACCATGACCCTTGTATTGTAATATGTATTGTATCGTGACCCTGGTATTGTAATATGTATCGTACCATGACCCTGGTATTGTAATATGTATCGTACCATGACCCTGGTATTGTAATACTTATTGTATCGTGACCCTGGTATTGTAATATGTATCGTACCATGACCCTTGTATTGTAATTTGTATCGTATCGTATCGTGACCCTGGTATTGTAATATGTATCGTACCATGACCCTTTTATTGTAATATGTATTGTATCGTGACCCTTGTATTGTAATATGTATCATATTGTGACCCTTGTATTATAATACATATTGTATCGTGACCCTGGTATTGTAATATGTATCGTACCATGACCCTGGTATTGTAATATGTATCGTATCGTGACCATGGTATTGTAATATGTATCGTATCGTGACCCTTTTAATGTAATACGTATCGTATTGTGACCCTTGTATTGTAATATGTATTGTATCATGACCCTTGTATTGTAATATGTATCGTACCATGACCCTGGTATTGTAATATGTATCGTACCATGACCCTGGTATTGTAATATGTATTGTATCGTGACCCTGGTATTGTAATATGTATCGTACCATGACCTTGGTATTGTAATATGTATCGTACCATGACCCTGGTATTGTAATACATATTGTATCGTGACCCTGGTATTGTAATATGTATCGTACCATGACCCTGGTATTGTAATATGTATCGTACCATGACCCTGGTATTGTAATATGTATCGTATCGTGACCCTGGTATTGTAATATGTATCGTATCGTGACCCTTTTATTGTAATATGTATTGTATCGTGACATGATTGGCAATACCCACCATTTATACATAAGAGAGCACAAAATTGGACAGGGGCAAACTTTTTGAAGGGGGGTCAACTATATGACTCGGCCAGTTATTCACATTACAAATATTTCTAAGCTACAGGCCTGCCAAACCTACCACAACCAATATGATCTCCAAATATTTAATCAATAATTATGTGATGCCAGGAGGTGTTTCTATGAGAGTAAGCACTCCCTGTCTACATCTCAACCACTGCTACTATACAGTACTCTAAAATACCACCTGAGTAGTTTTGATTGAAGTTTTATCATTTTAATAGTAACAACAGACGGAGAGTAACAATTAGATAGATACAACTGGTATTCTGTATCATTCTTTATATTTTTCCCACTTGAAATTCGCGTTTTTCTTCAAATTTTTTCGAGGTGGAAAACAATGATTTCAGATAAAAATAGCATTAATATTGCATTAGGCAGTCATTCAGTGTACATCATTATTAGGTTGCTAATGAAACCAGTTAAAAACCTCATCGATAAACCGATTTCACTTGCCAACAAGCCTGGTTTACGAATTTAAATCATCAAACTTAATTCACAAAACATTGAAAAAAAATTGGCAGAATTGAAATAATGTTACAAGAAAAAATAAAACCATATATCTTCCACCCACCAGTCTATTTTAAATAGAAAACTTGTATTCTCAATAGCCACAATGTATTTATCGCAAATGAGAATTTTAATTATTACCTATAGAGAATTTCACAAATTGACGAACTTTCAGGTAAAATATAAAATATTCCTTTATCATATAAATAAGCTAGGTCAAGGACCTCTAGCTCATATACAGTGAAAGTGTTTTACTACTGGTTTGTTTTATTCTGATTTTAAACATGGCAGTGAAGGTCAGATTAAGGCTGGTAATGATAGTAAAATCATAGTAAATTCACTAGCTGGTCAGCATCAACTGGACAACCTAGTAATGCCTCCCCTTCCCCCCTGCACCTCTAAAATCCAGATTAAGAGGAAAACCCTACCCTGAACTCCCTTACTAAGTCCTCTGAACTGCAGGAAAACCAGCAGTAGTGACAGACAGATTAAGACTGTTAGTTATTTTGAAAACATAGTAATTTTAATGGACGGTCTGAAACATTCCTGCCATCAACCCCCAAGCCCCACCCCACCCCTCCACTCTTTCAGAACTCCATGCATTTCAGCATGTATAAGGAATGGTAATCTCCTTAGATCATGGTAAAATTACTAGATGAAAGATGAGTGGTATTTGTTAATAAGTCTCTCACAGATATCAAGTTTCATCCAGGTAACTGTTACATTAGCTGATACAAACAGAGGCAATATGGTAGCGATATATCTACACCATCATCGTAACTTCAACATTCATAATAAACACATAGCTAATGTTTTAACCTTGTAATTGTTATTCCATGCAGGGATGTTGACTGAGCTGTATTTGCCAGTCAAAAACCATTTTTTATAAGATTGACAAGGTTCAACAGCTGGTCTGTGGCCAAAACCTCTTGGTAATAGTTTTACAAGGATAACAATTCAGTTTCGCGATGATCCTTCAAGGTCTTCAAGCTGGTCCTTGGCCAACCCTCTTGGTGGGGACGTCTGCTGACCTTGAATCTTACTAAGAATAGAATCCAGGACCACATTTGTTCACCGTAACCAAACAAAAAACATCAACGCTCTTACTAACTGCACTACAGCACATCCTTAAAGTTAATTCTAATACTTATTGACAAGGGCTCATTTTACTCTGTAAGCGTGTGTTTCTGATATAGCATCTTCATCAGTACAATTGGTTTGGAAATAGGGATCAAGTTTTCAATCAAATGGCTTAAGGGTAACAACCTCATGTTATGTGTATACAAATTCTTAGTAACTTATTAAGCTATTTCAAAAACAAAAGAATTTGTCCCGGAATTTTTTCTGAAATATTGACTCAACAAAACAATAAAAATAAATAAATTCCAGACTCTGCAGGATTTCTGTTGACACAGTGCTGACAATGATCTGCCATCTTGAATGACAGGACTGCATGATGCCAATTGAACAATTCCTTTCTACAAATATTGACAGAGACATCTTGAAGAGAACAATAAACCATAACTCATTGAGATAAACTATGTTTGATTGTGTCACTGTCGTCTGTTTGGTTCTCACAATATATTGATGTATTCGGATCAACTGGTGATCACAGGTATCAAACATCAATAAGAATGATAACCATGCAAAGAAATGGATTTTAATGTCATGCTTTTCTTCTTTTGATTTAGGAGTGATGTAAAATTTGAAGGAATCATTTTTTTTTAAATTTTCTAGTACTTCTGAAGACTATTTACATATATTCAAGACCTAAATCAACCCTTGAAAATGGTGAATCTGCCATTTTAAACCATACAACATGACTATTCCTTAAGTTACTTGAACTACATGTATATGTATAATGAAAAAAACAATTAACAAGTACCACACCCTTCACCTCCTTTCAGATAAGTTATAGTTGTTCATGGGAAATAAACAGTCATCATAACACCTCCATCTTTGAATGTCAAACAAGGTCAAGTGAGCACCAGATTAATAGAGATCTCAACCCTAACCAACAGATGTGAACCAGTGGTCATTGATTTTAACGAATGTGCAAAAAAATTAAGTTCAAGATTTGCATCTCCTTGAGAATTAGTTATCATGAAAATAAAACAGTCACCATTACAACTCCATTTTGTTTTCAAGGTCACACAAGGTCAGGTGACCATCAGATGTGAACCATTGATCACAAGTCATTGACCATTGGCCTTGTTATAATGAAGCAGTCATCACTAACACCTCAACCTGGATTTCAAGGTCAGGCAAGCACCAGACTAATGAAGATCTCAACCCTGACTAGTGGATGTGAGCCAGTGATCACAGATCATTGACCATCGGTCATGTAATAAAGTCACTGATAAAGTTGTCATCTTACACTATCATTAACTATTAATCAATTATTAGAATCAATTAATTTCTCTTTCATTCTCACCTACAGTAGTCAGTAGTTAAGTTCAGTTCAGGTCAGTTAATTGACTGAATCAAGGTGACTACTATAATAGGGGTTTTTAAGAGTTTTCTAGTGGACATTAACTTGTCATCATCTTTCCTACCAGTTTTCTAGCTTTAATATGTATCAAGGTCATTAATGGTCTTCCACAGTACTCACTAGTCACTTCACTGAAACACTTTTTGACCATTGTTCTATCTGTTAATAAGTCTCACAATAACTCTCTTATGACTGTTCATTTTGTAGTTGGACAACAAATTAAGGTGAACAACAATTTCATGTTCATTACTAATTGGCTGACAGAAGTGAACACTAATTTCCATTTGAAATCTAATAGCTTATTTTGGTTGGACAACAAATTAGGGTGAAAAACAATTTCATGAGAATT